CCCAGCTCGCCCTCGCGAGGCTGATGTGTTGTGGGCGTGGCCTGAAGGTCGCCCCGCCCCCCGCGCCCTCCTAGCCTGCCCTCGCGAGGCTACTGTGGGCGTGGCCTGACGGCCGCCCCGCCCCTTCGCCTAGACTCTCTGTCACCTGACCGCCCGCGTCTCACGTGACCGGTCTTGCGCCGCCATCTTGGATCGCCGGTGAGGAGCGGAAAAGCGGGGGAAAGAAGGCGCGGAGCTGGGAACGCGGCGGGAAGAGGACGAGGGCGAGGGCACGGGGGGCGCCCGGCTGGCCCCACGAGGCCCGCGGAGCAGCAGCCGCCGCCCGACCGCAGGTACCGCGTCCCAGGCCGCCCCTCGCCGCTGCGGGCGCCGCCGCGGGCCATGTGCGCCTTCCCGCGGGCCTCGCCGCCGCCCCCCCTGCGGCCCCGTGCGCCCGCGACGAGGCCCGCGGGCTGCCCCGCTCCGCGCCCCGCCGCCGGCCGGCTGCACTGCAGGCGCAGAAGCAGCCCCGCCGCCCCGGCCCCAGCCCCAGCCTCGCCGGCCGTGCGGGGCGAGAGACAGGGGCGCCCGGGGAGCGGCTCGGGCGGCTGCGTGACGGGCCCGCCGGGCTGCCTCCGCGCCGGAAGCCGCCTCCGGGCCGGCGGGGCTGCGCTCGGCCTTCGGCCCGCATCCCTGCTCCAGGCGGCCTGGGGCGGCCGCTCCCGCGCACTTTGTCCGTGGTTCCCCGCGGACCCCCCCCCCCCCCCGTGCCCGCCCCGATGGCAGGGGGACCCCGGCCCCTCCTCTCCTGTCCCGGGGAGCCCGCTTATTCCCTTCCCCGGGAGAGCAGACCCTGTCTGCCCGGCAGTGACCTCCGCCGTGAGGTGCATCCAGGTGAACCGAATAAGCACCCTTTGGGCTGGCAGGTTCTTTCTAGATCGTGACTCCGCGCCTGGCCCTGTGTTCCCGGGGAGCTGGGTCCGGGTCCGCCTGTGGTGCTGCCGCCTGCCCTCCAGCCCGCCTGGCTCCTGGAAGTATTTGACATTTGCAGAATCACCGTTATTCGATTGTTTTCAGTTAAGATTTAAAAAGAAGAAAAAAAAACACACAAAAGTGGCAGATCATTGTTTCTTATTCATGAGAAGGTGGAATCAACAAAACCAATAGTATTTGAAGTCAATTATATAAATTCGGAGCTAACGCATAAAATACACTAAAATTATGGGAGAAGTTTCCAGAGGTTTTTTGTTATAACTTATACAAAGTCCTGAACTCTACTGATTAGATAAATTACGTAAATGTGCATCCCATAATTGGGTTCCTTTTTTTTTTCCCCCCCATAGAATATTGAGAAAAGTCTCACCACCCAAAAAAAATCACTCCTTTGTTTCTCCGAGTGAGAGAAATGTTTGATGCTGCCTGCTTTCCTTCTTGGCCACGGCTGGATGTTGAAGATGGATCCAAGGGGCTGTTCATTTCGGGAACTGATTTAGAAAACACTGGCGCTGCCACTTAGCAGCCCTGTAACCTTTAAGCCACTTAAAGGGCACTACTGTTCCCTTATTTGTAACATGGCTAGACCCTCCCAAAGATCAAACAGGCTTGCAGGTTGATACAAAGTAGCAGTGAGAGGCAGTTTCTCTTCAATATCAGGAGTTACAAACTTGGTTCTCATTGAGCAATAAAAGGAAGTCGGTGTATTGAGAAAGGATAGATTTGGAATCATGTGGCTTGGGTTCCAGTTCTTTTTTTTTTTTTTTTTCTTTCTTTTTTTTGGGGGGTTCCAGTTCTTAAACCATTATTACTTTATATCTGTGCGTCTCAGGTTCCTCATCTGCCAAAAAGAGATTAATAGTACCAGGGGAAGGATAGAAGAGGTGGGCAGATAGGGGCTCCTTATTCTACTTGTGCCCTGCCACAGCTGTGACTGCTGTCGTTGTCAGTCTCACCCTTTGTCAACAGAGTCCCAGGAAAGCGAGTGGCACCCTCAGCGTTGGATAATTCAAGGAGGAGGTATTTACAGAGGTGCTCGTAGTCGGGTGAGGGGCTTGGGTAGGCAACCCCCGGGGATAGCACGGTGATCTGGAGCAGGTCAGGAGCAGGGAGCGGGGCTAGGACCAGGAGTGTCCTGGAGAGCAGCCTGCCTGGAGGGACCAGCCCGTTCAAGGTCACCTGGAGGGAGGAGGCCAGGGAATGAGGATCTTGATGTTACTCCCTGCCTCCTGACCTCCTGGCGTGGCTCCCCGTTAACATAACTCCCCCAGCATTGACACCCCCCCCTCCCAGCAGCCAGGGACAGGGGTCCGGTGATGGGCTCCCTCCTGGGACAGGCCTGGGGGGCTGACAGTGACATCGTTTGGAATTGAGTGTGTATCTTACTCTTCACGGAGCCTTCCTGTCTGTTAGGGTTTAGTCATTGGCTGTTTCTGACGATTTTACCTTGTGTACTGTCACATTGTTTAAAAGCTGCTAATTTTCTTAAATTTCTAACCAGGTTTGTCTTATTCTCCCAACTCAGTTTTAGACTGTGAGAACTGTACATTTAAATTTTTTTCATTCTTCCTGGTACTTTGCTTGGTGCCTTGCACATATGAATGTTTTCTATAACTTTCTATATTAAGTATTTAAGCACAACACAAGTAGAATAGTATAATGAGCCCCTACCTGCTCACCTCTCCAATTACAAAACCTACCAGTCTCCTTTAACCCTCTCTCTCCCATCAGGGTGACGTTTTCCATAGCTGCTTTCACATCGATCTCCTGGAGACCATGCATAGGATGCAGATTAGCACAGTCCATGTTGCTGTTAAACCACTAGGATTATCTTCGTTGTCCTTATTTTCATCCCTTATTATTCAAATAAATTTTACTTTACTTGACATGCAGTCCCATATACTTATGCACATTGGTGGCCTAAGTGAACTCTGAAAATTTGGAGTTGGCCTTAAGGTCAACTTAACTCTTTTGTAGACTTTATTACGAGCTGTTATCTAATCTGATTAGCAGAGACTTTGTTCTACTGAGACTTGACTTTTGCATTGATTTTTGCGAGTGTCCCCAAACTGGTTTTTCAGGTATTTCTCAGTGTATTTGATGTTATCCTGTCTGTTTTAGAGATGCCATTTCTGTACTTACCCCCCAACATGGGCAGCCTCTGCAGTGAGACACGTAACTGCCCAGGGAGATGGGGCACCTGCCACAGGTTTCCCTGAGCACACGGCTCTCCACGTGAGTCCCTTGTCAGGTTGTTTTGTAATGTGTTTTGCTTGTGGTGAGATAACTCCTCCTCCTCGTCATTGCACAGGGAGCAGTTGGCATGCTCTGCCCCCCTCCTGTCATGTCCAGGAGTGAAGAGGAACAGCCTGTGGGTGCAGCTAGCCTCCAGGCGATCAGTCAGCTTGCTGAGGTCACATTTCCCGGGAAGGAGGCCTTACGTCTGTACAAGGAATTGAATGTTCCAGGTTCCCTGTCATTAGTTTGTATTTAACTGAACAAATAAATACAAATAAAGCCTGAGAGCGCCCAGAAGGGGAATCCGTAACCATGTAAGGAGCCACAGCTCCCTTGACCTAAACGTGGAATCCACAGGCAGCAGAGTGACTCAGAAAGTCACAGAGTGTTCTCGCAATCACTGGTCCCTCTTAGTGACTGAGGCTGAGTGTAAATATAAAGACTAAGGACACTTCGCTCTCTCTGCCTGAGAAAGGCCTTTGTAAGGGAACACAGAGGGTCCTCAGACAGGGCTTTTCTACTTCATGATGGTGCAAAAGCTGTATGTTTGGTAGACACTATACTTTGAGTTTTGATCTTTCCTGGGCTGGTAATATGTGTATGAAAGATACTCTGACTCTGGACAGTGGCAGCCCCCAGCCAGGCACGGTCTTGAAGGTCAGCAACCCAGAATCCGCAGTCTTGTTGTCTTTTGGGAGGTAATACTCCGGGTTGTTCAGCGGGGAGTGGCTATAGGGCCACAGGCCCCGGGTTGCTGGGTGGTCATCCCTGCTGTCACAGCTGGAGCACATTTCCTGGTTGTGAGAGTGGTCAGTCGGGAAGGGGGTGGGGGCGAAGGGCACTAGGGAAGCCTGATGTGGGCCCAGAGGAGAGCTATTGTGCCTGAGAGCAGGAAGTTCGGAGCACCCTGACTGCTGTGAGTGGGTGTGAGTGGGCAGAGAAGACCATGCTGAGCCATCTGAGCACAGCGGGGTCTGGCGGGAGTTTGGGTATAGTCCTTGCATGGGCCACGATTCAACTCCGAAAATAAGAGTTCAGAGCCTGTGACAGGGTATGGTCTTTGGTCTATAGCTGGGGCCACTAAACTCTTGCTGGAGTTTGTTGAATGTGTGAAATTCCAATATGCACTGAAATGTGGGAGAACAAAACTTGTTGCTGGAAAAAAAGAAAAGCCTAAACCTAAAAACTGAGATCCAAGTCAACAAATCATCTCACTTTAGGCCAAAGGGAACGTTTGAAATGAGTGGGTGCTATCAGGAAGCAGAGTTTGAGATTAGGCTGAAAGAGATTGTGTTTCCTATCGAGTGACTTCCTCGGCCAGACGCATCTCTTCCTAAGGACCCGTGCGTATGTGGACAACTAGGATGTCAATTGCTTCCGTCTTCGATGGCCCTTTCCTTTCAGGGGAAAGAAAGTAACACATACGGGTGATAACTGACCACTAATATGAGCTCTGGAAAACCCACAGTGTCGTTTGTGGTTTATCTTTGGGAAGACGAAGGAAGTAAAAGGAGGAACTGCTGGACTATTGCTTTTCTTTAGTTTCGTTGCATAGTACTTCTCAGTTCACTGTCCTTCCCGATGAGGTAATTATATGTTTTCATAATCCCAAAGGCTTGCAGAGAAGAAAAACTACAATTATATTTGGTGTAAAAAGTTGCATCAGTCATGTATCGACTCTAGGGATGGTATTTCATAGTAAGTTAAGGTGGTTCTGCCCTGGGAATGGCTGTGTTTGTTCAATCAGTTGTGACTGGGCGTCTCTCTGTGGTCTGTCCCCCTTTCTAGATATGGAAGTGAGCAGCAGCGTCGCCATGTTGGTGCCAGACCTTGGGGAACAGGAAGCTATATTGACGGCCGACACTGTCATCGGTTCTTCACTGGAAATTGATGGACAGAGTTCAGCTAAAACGGATCCATTAATCCATGTTATCCAGAAGTTGAGCAAGATAGTGGAACATGAAAAGTCACAAAAATGCCTTCTGATTGGGAAGAAGCGCTCCCGTCCAAGTGCTGGGGCGAGCTCTCCGGAAGCCCAGGAGCTCGGGGAGATCCCAGCGAAAGGAGCCCCGCCCCCCATGGCTGACAGAAGGGTCGAGCCGGCACAGATCCCTTCCAGCCCGGACCCTCTCGCCCAGAACGACGGGAAGGCTATGTCCTACCAGTGCAGCCTGTGCAAGTTCCTGTCCCCGTCTTTCTCTGTGCTCAAGGACCACATCAAGCAGCACGGCCAGCAGAACGAAGTGATCCTGATGTGCTCCGAGTGCCACGTCACCTCCAAAAGCCAAGAGGAGCTGGAAGCCCACGTGGTGAATGACCACGAAAACTTTGCCAACGGCCCCGTTCCGCCCAGAGCCGAGCCGTGCGTGAGCCCCTCCAGCGCTGTGTGCCTGAGGCCCGCCGAGCGGAAGCAGGAAGGCGCCCCCGACCTCTCCGTCAGCCTGCGTGCTCCACAGACGCACGTCGTCCCCGCCGCGTCTGAGAAGGACAGGGGGAGGAGGAAGTGGTACGCCTACGAGCAGTACGGCATGTACCGGTGCCTGTTCTGTAGCTACACGTGCGGGCAGCAGCGAATGTTGAAGACGCACGCTTGGAAGCATGCCGGGGAGGTGGACTGCTCCTACCCGATATTTGAAAATGAGAACGAGCCCCTGGGCCTGCTGGGCTCCTCGGTGGCCACTGCGCCCGGCGGGGTCGACGCCGTGGTCATCGCCATCGGAGAGAACGAGCTGAGCATCCACAACGGGCCGGCGGTCCAGGTACAGATCTGCAGCTCAGAGCCTCTGTCCGCGGCGGCGGCCCTGCCGGGTGCCGGGCGGGACACGGGCCTCCGCGGGGCGGTGGCCCTTGGGCCACACGAGGAGGACGTGCTGGAGGTGATCTCCGACGCGGAGGAGGGCCTGGTGGCCGACAGCCTCCTCTCGTCGGCACAGAAGATCATCAGCAGCAGCCCCAACAAGAAGGGCCACGTGAACGTGATCGTGGAGCGTCTGCCCGGCGCCGAGGAGACCGTGCTGCAGAAGCCTTTCCTCGTGAACGCCGCGCGGGAGGAGGGGGGCCTCCCGCCTCCTGCAGGGCCCCCGCCAGGCTGCGAGGGGCGAGAGGAGGCCTATCGTGCCGACCAGTGCACCGTCGACATCGGGGGGCTGATCATAGGCTGGAGCAACACGGAGAAGAAGGAGAGCGAGCTGATCCATCCGGGACTGGCCCCCGACGAGAACGCGCCCCCGGGCCGAAGGAGGACCAATTCCGAGTCCCTGAGGCTGCACTCGCTGGCGGCGGAAGCCCTGGTCACAATGCCCATCAGAGCCGCCGAGCTCACGAGAGCCAACCTGGGGCACTACGGCGACGTCGGCCTCTTAGACCCAGACACCGGGCAGCGGCAGGTGGACAGCACCTTGGCAGCCTATTCTAAAATGATGTCACCCCTCAAAAACTCTTCCAACGCGTTAGCGAGCTTTAACCAAAGCAGCTGCCCCTTGGTGGCGCTCCCGGACGGCAGGCAGGAGCTGTCTGACGGGCAGGCGAAGACGGGCATCAGCGTGTCCTTGCTCACCGTCATTGAGAAGCTGCGGGAGAGGACGGACCAGAACGCCTCGGACGAGGACATCCTGAAGGAGCTGCAGGACAACGCCCAGTGCCAGCCCAGCGGCGAGGGTGGCCTGTCAGGCGGCGGCGTGGTGGAGTACATCCCCAACGCCGAGCGGCCCTACCGCTGCCGCCTCTGCCACTACGCGAGCGGCAACAAGGGCTACATCAAGCAGCACCTGCGGGTGCACCGGCAGCGGCAGCCCTACCAGTGTCCCATCTGTGAGCACGTGGCCGACAGCAGCAAGGAGCTGGAGAGCCACATGATCCACCACTGCAAGGCCCGGCTGTACCCGTGCAAGCGCTGCGCCGAGGCCTTCCACTATAAGGTACGGCCCCGTGCTCAGGAACCCCGGCTCAGAGCAGGCCCAGGCGTGGTGGGGTCAGTCCACCCACACCTGGTCCATCGGGAAACGGACCCGAGAAGGGTTGGTAGTTGGCCAGACGATGGGGACTGAAATGGGGTCATTGGGACTTCGGGTAGGATCTCCCTGGCCGCCCCTGGCCTGGATAGTGCTGTAGAGACTCTTCAGAAGGGGTGGCTTTTGCAGTGCAGGGGGGTGTGCGGCGGGGACAGCATGCACACACACAAATGTAGCCACATCAGCAGTGCACGGCCCCCAACTGCAAGTCGTTCCCTCCAGGGCTGCCCAGCCAGCCTGCAGACTCGGTTTGTTGCAGAGGAAGAATGGGCTGGATGAGGCAGTGCCGTGGGCGGAGAGCCACGTGTTAGCTGTGTGGCAGTTTGAGGAACTCTCAAGGTCGCTTTGACTATGTGACTTTCACCTTATGTGCGACCTCAAAGCCAACAACCGGCGTGAAATGCTGATTTGTAAAGGAAACTTGCATTCTTCGGGTCGTGGTTTAGGACTTATTTCTTCGATATGCCAGTTGATGGGGGAAGAATTTTTTTGCTATCCTAGGGGGCCGCTGGGAAACGGGGACGTGGACTTTCTCAGGTGACCCAGGGGAGGCTGGGAGTGAGATGGTTCAGGAAGGAAAGGCCTTTGAGGGAGATTCCGCTCCACTCAGATTGCCCTCCTGGAATCTGGAATGGCCTTGGCCACTGGACAGGGGCATTTGGTGGGGGCAGGGGTGGGGGCGGGGGCGGTCCCCGGGGTGCCTGCAGCAACTGTGCTCTTGGCCCCTGGGATGCAGCTGCAGGAGGCCCGCGGTGCAGTGGCTGGCGGTTTCTTTCTGTGAAAGCGCTGGCTCTGGGAGCCCTTCGCCCTCTCCCCGGGCCTGCCCACGGTGAGTGTGCACACGCCGCGCCAGGACCCAGGACGGAACCTGGCGCTCCCGGCGCAGTGCCTCCGTAAACTGCCAGAGGCTCGGGTAACGAGGCACGTTTGCTTTGGAAGCGTTGGTGGTGTGTCCTAGGTTCCAGGCTCCTGTAACTACAGTGAGTTCATTAGGAATTGCTGTTCATTTCTCTCGTGCCCAGAGTCAGCTGAGGAGCCATGAGAGGGAGCAGCACAGCCTTCCAGACCCCCTGTCAGTGGTGGCTTCTGCTGAGCCCAGGGTCCCCAGGGACACCGCCGAGGCCAAGTGTGCCCAGGAAGGTAGGTGTGCATCCCACACGGCCGCACAACTCGCATCCCAGGTGAGAAGCCCCTCAGCAGCCTGTCCGGTGGGGGGTTCCAGGACCAAAGCTGCATCGGTCCTCCTCTGTTTTGCACTGTGGGTTCTGGTCTCCTCCTGGGGACGCTCTGAGCCCTGAATGAAGCACTGTGAGTCAGTCCTCAGCTTCACCTATAGGGAGATCTGACACTGACATTCCTGTTGTCCTGTAAGAGCCAAAGGCCCCATGAACCTTAGGCGCCAGGCCCAGGAGCCAGGGAAGCCGCAGCGAAGCAGCAGCCTGCCCCTCCCCCAGCCCAGCTGACCCTCGAGAACAGCTCACAGATGGCAGCCCCCTCCCAGACTCTAACTGAGGCCCCTGCTGTGATCTTGTCGTAACCGAGGCTGCTGCCAGATGTCACCTGCACTCTCTTTCAAACACGGCACCCGATCCTCTGCACACGTCAGGTACCGCTCGGCTAATAGGAATATTAGCATCGAAAGATTTCACTCGTGCCCCATGAAGAGGCTAACGGTGCTGAGCTGCGCTTCCCTGCGTCAGCTCGCTTAAATGGATAAACTCCCGTGTCTTGAGTGTGGTGCATCGTGTTTATGGGGAATAAAACATATTGGGGTGACTTTCCTTTTTAGATTTCCTAAGAATTAAAGTTAGAAACAATTGCAGAGTGAAATGTTTTCCTGTAATGTTCATCACATTATGGCCCAGCACGCATAACCGACGCGGGAATGTTTCTGAGAACTGCGCTGACACCCGCCTCCCCTGTCAAGCAGCTGTCACCCTGCAAACGTCTCCCAGACAAAAGGAGTTTATGGCAGAGCATCTGCCTCTGCAGAGATGGCTGAGCTAGACAGTTTGCTTCCTTTCTGCAGGAAGGCGAGTGCCCCTCCCCCTTTACCCATTATGCTCGCATCCTGTGAAGGAACCTTAAGACATGGGATGGCTTTGGGCAGGGAATCCCTAATGGCGGGATAGTCAGGCCTCTTAGGGCATTGCCTTCGGTGAACACAGGGCTAAACCTGCCCTTTCAGGCAGTCATCTCACTGTCCCCATGGGCCGTTAACAAGTTAAAACTCAGTTTTAATGGGAAGATTAACGTGAGCTCAGAATTAAAGTAACCAGTTCATTATTGTATGGCGAGCTGTCCAACATTAGTGTGTCTGCCACATTCCCTCTTGTATCGCCTGGGGTTGAGGGTGGATTTCACATGCAGGCCATGCCTTCCCCACCCAGCCCTCTCGCCCGTCTTTGTCATCAGAGAGTGACCGTTCAGATGACGGACGGCCTCCTGGGCGCTTTATTCACTCAGCATTGAGCTTTCAGAATCTGGTGGTCAAACCAAAGAACAAGTTCCCAGCTCACAGAGAAGGGAAAGATTAGTCCTTGGCATTCTGAAACTTAACCGCTTCGTGATTGCATTAAAGAAGAGGGAGGCGTGCCCTGTGCTCCGCCTCTGCCCATTAGGACGGCACAGGCACCTCAGGGCACGTTTCAGCTCGGAGGCACAGGGCCACGGTACTTGGGACATGTGTTCTGCTCAAGTCAGGACTGTCCTGGGCTGGCCCTGGTGCTGGGAGTACAGTGAAGGCGGCAGTGCCAGTGAGGGGTCCCGTGACCAAGATAGATGGTGCTCCACCAGAGCCGCGGGCAAAGCACCTCCGTGTGTGCTTCCTTGTCAGATTTAAGTAAACTGTTCTTTGTTGCAAACCTGTAATTTGCCAAGCTCTGGGGAGTCGCTGTAAACACAGCAGGCAGGTTCCTGCCCGCAGTAGTTAGCAGCTAGGACACGTCAGAGACCACAGGAACCTGCAGAGGCGGCAGAGGAACACAGTGCCCCTGGCGAGCTGACCGCACTGGAATCCTCCAGTCGCTCGTTTTGTAGATAAGAAAGCCAAGTCCCCAGAGGGGAAATCATTTGCCGGTGATCACACGGTGCTGCTGGCAGCACAGATGAAGCCCAAGGTCTTCAGTTGAAACCCAGGACCTTCTCCCTGGAAACAGCTGCTCGGGTGACACAGCCTCCCGGTCTGCGTGCAGGCAGCTTTTCATGGCGTTTTCACTTGCGTGATTGGTTTGCAGTGCCGCTCACACAGAGTTTTTTAAACTGCATTTGGAGCAGTGCTCTTTTAATCAAGTCCAAATTTTTAACCTACCAATTAAGAGTAATACTTAGATTATAGTCATGATTAGTGTGCCTATTTAATGTAACAGATTTATGCCAGGATATTAGGACATTTTGTTCTGTCTGGCAAACGTAGTAGGTACTAGCAAAAGAAAATACCAATTTTACAAAGCTTTAAATTAAGGGTTTTCTTTGTTTTGTTAAAATTTTAGTGTGGATTTGCTTTTTTGCTGCATTTCACCTCCCTGTGCTGTGGCGTGTTGTCTCTCAGCTTCCTCCCGCTCTGCCCTCTTCCGTGGCCGTGCTAGTTTGTCCTGAGGATAGAGCAGTGAGGCTGCGGGTAGCTGTGGACTCGGTGCTCAGAGTAAACGGGTTGGGCATCCTCAGGAGCAGTGTCCATTGCTCTCATCACTCAACCGTGTCCAGGCTTTCCGGGCTCGGCAGCCCAGCCCTGTGGCACGGGGGCCTGTGGAGCCAGCTGCACATTCACGTTGGTTATAACCTTTGTCCTCGGAGCTGCCCGGGTGCTGATGTCACTAGCGGCACAGCGTTACCAGGTGTGTAATAGCAGACGGTTGCTTTTCCCTGGTGGTTGCATTGACAGCTGACAGTCATAAACAGAGGAAACCCACAGACTGAAAAGGCACTAGGCTGTTTATATTCCGTTTGTAGCCACACTTTACTGGATTCTGATACTAAATTATAGGTTGTTGGCAAATAGTTGTTTCCCTAAGACAATGTACCCATGTTGGTTAGACTAATACTTTTCACATTAACTGTGTCTCTGGTTAATTCAGCTGCTAGTAGTCAGCGGGCACTGGCATCAAGTCCATCCTTTTAGAATGTTGTGCAAGGTTATGTAGAGACCAACCCAATGTATCTATGTCTCCCAGTCAGGTGATGTTCATTTTATATCTGCTGGTGTTCCAGGTCCAGGTGCCTGTGAGCCATTTTCTGACTTGTTAACTTGATCTGGAGAGAGTCTGGATGGAGGTATTAGTACTGCTGGTGTCAGTGCTCGTTGACAGTAGAATGTAAGTGCTGCCATTTGACTAATGAAAGCCTGTCACTAAAGCTCTGAAATGCCTTGTGCAGAGAATAAGTCTTCAGTCCAGAAACAGTACAGATGCGACGTGTGTGATTACACAAGTACAACATATGTTGGTGTCAGAAACCACAGACGGACCCACAACTCGGACAAGCCGTACAGGTGAGTGTGATGGCCCTGGGTCTAATGCTTGTGCTCAGCACTTTGTAATGAAGAAAAAAGTAAAAGTTATCAAGCACTCGCTCACTTGTTTGAACGCAGGTTAGATGCTAAGCAGCGTTCCCAGGTGGTGTTCAGTTGGTTAAAGACTCCCCGTTCTGAGCTGGAGTCCCGGCCCGCAGCCTTGTGTCTGGTTGGAATGCGGGACGATGCCTGTGGCTGTCAGTGCCGGTTCCAGTTTCATAGAATCGTCAGATAGCAGTGTTCAGTCATTGGGCCGGAGTATTCCAGCAGAAGAGTCTGAACGCTTAAAAGCAATACAATTCCCTGTGAAAGATTCTGTTTTTGGAAATTAATCTTTCATGCATAGAACAAGATCTTTTTTATTACTTGGTTTTCCACCAAGGCTAATTCTAGCAGTTTTCAGGAAATAGCAGAGTTCTCAGTTGATGGCGATACGCTGGCAGGTAGAAGTCATGACTCCTAAGCAAATTGGCCTCTTGCACATAAACCGCTGCTTTCGTAGTCAGCTTGTCCTGCTGGCAGCGGAGGAACCCGGTTTCCATCCCAGCGAGGCCGGCAGGATAGGGAGTGCCGGGCCTGGGCTCGCACTGCACCCGAGGACACTTACTCCATGTGCCAGCTCTCCCCGGGGTCCTGGGTGCAGCACGGTGAATGTGGTCAGGTGTGAGTGACATCTCAGTGGAACCCGACAGAACACGCCTTGCAAGGCCCTGCTTTCACCTGCGTGGGCTCCCTCAACAGACGTGGTTCCCTCCCGCTGCAGGTGCTCTCTGTGTGGCTACGTGTGCAGCCACCCGCCTTCCCTGAAGTCGCACATGTGGAAGCACGCCAGTGACCGCAACTACAACTACGAGCAGGTGAACAAGGCCATCAACGACGCCATCTCCCAGAGCAGCAGGTACGGACCCCGCGCGGCCTGCGCTGTCCCGTGTAAGTTCAACCCTGCGTTCTAACCCACTCACGGTCTGGTGTTTTGCTTGCTTTAAGGGTTCTAGGGAAGTCCCCTGGAAAGACTCAGACAAACAGCAGTGAAGAAGGAGCCGACCCCCCTACTGGGGGTGTGGACACCGTGGTGTCGTCCTCGGAGCCGGCTCCTCAGACTCCCCAGGCTCCCACCGAGCGCGAGAAACTGAGCCCCACAAGTAACTCCTCGTGTCGCTCCGACAAGAGCCCGGGGGCGGCCCCCCCGGGGATGGAGTACTGCGTCTTACTCTTCTGCTGCTGTATCTGTGGTTTCGAGTCCACCAGCAAAGAAAACCTGTTGGATCACATGAAGGAGCACGAGGGTGAGATTGTCAACATCATCCTGAACAAGGAGCCCGGCGCAGCTCTCAACACGAGCTAGACGCCGCGGGCCGGCGTCTCGCCGCCTCAGACGCCCGGCAGACACACGAGGGGGGACTGACAGGTGTGACTTTGGAATTCCAAATGGATGAGCAGCAATAATATTTTAAGTATTCTGAGCGAGGGGAAATGGGTTGAGGAGGAAGCAAAGACGTGACCCTGTATTAACCCTCTGTTACCTCTTGTTAGTGTTGAGTGTATTTATTACTAAAAGCTAGAAATGCAAACAGAAGAGCTAAGAAAGGGTTTTTCAGGAACTGTCCTAAAACTATTGCTATAAAACCGACACAGTCTCAAGCAGAGCTTGGTTTTCTTCCTTTGCAGCGAGACTCAGCGTTCTACCTGAGCCTTCCAGCGGAGAGGAAGTGTCAGGTACTCGGTCTCAGATATGTTGCTTTACTCCTTCAAAAAAGGAAAGAAGGCAGACCTCTGAATCAACACCTAGATTGTAAATAGGCATTTAAGGAGTAAATGTCTTAAATTTACAGGGTTTCCTGTGGGCACCAGACTCGGCCAGACCTTGGGGTTGCTAACACTGTCTCAGCCCAGGGCAGGGGTCCCCAGAGGTTCCGTTTGGGATCTGACAGGTCACCACAGGGTCTCGGCAATTACACAGCCGTCTGCCCCTCTTCGGAACCAGTCCGAGCGTTTAGCTGGAAGAGTCTGTTAAAACAACAAAGTATAAGATTTGCACTTGATCATCAGACCTTAGAAGTAGTTTGTTCTCTCTCTCTTTTTTTTAATAGTTTGATCTCTTAAAAGTCATTTGGGGGAAGAAGGGTGAGATCCAGAATCTGTTCAAATGAGGGCTTTGAGGTTTTACTTCCCTTGAGTTCATTGATTTAGTTACACTTAGCACGAGAGAGGTAACCACGTGTGGCTAAAATATGAAAATTCGGGTTGTTTATAAAGCTTTTAATAACAAATAACATTTGGCAAGTCTTCAGGGTTTCTCCTTTCTAGGAAATTCCTCCGTCGGCTTTTGCTTTGGAGCACGCCGTAAAATAGATGTGACTTCTCATTTTTTACACGTTTTGTATTAATGCGTTCTCCAGAGTCGAGAGGACAGGGTGTGTTGTGTTTGCATTGGTAGTTTGGTAATTTACTTACGCCTTGTTTTGTTGAAGGAAACTGTGCCCACAGTCGGAGGCAGGACCATGTGGGCCGCCTCCTGGTGCTCTCCTGGACGGCTCCTGCCCCGGAGCCAATCAGCGGGGAAGACAGGGCTCGAATGTGATGCTCTAGGAACACGTTTTAGGAAAGAATGCTCTTCCCAAAGTCCAGGTGTGACCTGGACCCGTTCCCGTCTCTAAGGTAGCATTAGGAACGATTTAAGGGGCCAGGCATCATTTCACTTTCATGATGATGTGAACACACAGAATGGATCATAACTGTGCAGCATTTCAGTTTAGGTAGCTCTAAGTTATTTATGAAAGTTACTCCATTCCTGGTATGTGGATTTTACAAAGGTAAAACAAGTTCACATATCATAAATTATATTCCCCAAGTCCACTGCCTGTGGTTTTGTGTTCATTTCCTCCTGTTTTCAGAATTAAAACCATTTCATTTCAAATTCAAATAAAATGTTTTAAATAGTTCTATTATTATCACTTATATTCTTACCACTCAGTCCACTCCTCCATTGCTTGTAGCTATGACCTGGTATTTCTTTACAAAAATCTTGATTCTGAAAATTAACAACCTTCAAAGAATTTTGTTTTATAAATTTTCCGTGGCTTTAATTTTATGTAATCATTTGGAAAATACGAATAACCAAAAAAATCCCAACAATTTTAACAGTGAAATTTTGAACTATCTTTCTTCATTTCCTTAAACCACTTCCATTGATCGTTACTTAAATTTTTCACTTGGAATCATGGATTTAAAGTATCCCTAGCTCATGGGATAAAAACTAGCCCAGAAGTTCAAAGTCTCTTACTGTTCATCTGGCCTAGACAATCCTCAAAAGCTCTCTCCTGGCCTGTAGGGGGAACCATATACCCAAGGCATTCTCCTTCCCTGTTTGTGGCCAGCCTTAAATATCTCTCCCAAAGACAACTATTTCTACAGACTAAACATGCAGTAGTAATTGAGAAAGTAACCAGCAGGAGTCCCCTTTCTAGAAGTAACATTTTATTTACTGGCTCTGACCTGTTGCCATACAGAACCTTTTGTTCTCCACTCTGAACACTTGATAATTCTAAGAGTTGAGAGTGAAAATAGTTTTTCAAATAAACTTACTGGATAAAGCGGGGGGGGGGGGGGGGGGGGTATACATGTGCCCAGGATAAGGAACACGGTTCAGGGCTCCATGTTTCCTCCCTCTCTCTCATAATCCAGAACACACTGGCCAGGCTCCGACGATCGGGAGGCACCATGTGGTGGCGACACTTGTACCACCTTCGCAAAGGTCTTCCGTCCTGTTGGAGGTGGCTGTCGGAGGTGGCTGTCTGTGGCAGGGTGTTGTTTCTTTTTCCTCACAGAGCCGGGGGCATCCACGTTTACATTGTATCTCCTGCAGTGTATGAGGCTTGGCCGAGACAGCAGACTGCCCTGGCGAGACTCAGTATATTTTCAATTTTCATAGTCACTTATTTAACCTTTTTTTTTTTATTGTACAGCAAGGTGCTCTAAGTCATAGTCTATAAAGTATATTTAATAGGAACTTGAGTTTGCTATTCAAGGACATGAAGACATGTATTTTTTTAAGAAATGAGTATTGTGTAACACTATATAGCATTGCTTCTGTAGCCAAAGTCTGAACATTTCTGGAACACTGACGTGGGAAACTACAGTTCATCCTGACAATGTGTAAAATGGGATGGTTTGCATTTTGTGAAATTATCCTGCACAGCGAGCTGCATGCCTTAATGCCCGAAACTCCGGGGTTGTGCTCACGGCAGAACAGCTTGCCCACTCACCAGTGAGGCCGAGCTGTCGTGCGCCAGCCGCCTTCGGGAATACTGTACAATGTTAGAATAATTTATTTTGCTTTATAGGAATTTGTCATGTATTGACTTTAATATTGTATTTTGGTAATAAACTTTTTGTTAAAAAAAAAAAAAATACTTGCCTCGAGGCTTTATTAGCAAAAGGTTCTATCTGTACTTACCTGGGAAATACTGATTTGATCGCTTAGGAAGTTAGTTTAGATAATGAACTTCCCAAGGAGACAGCTAAGGCTTAGGATCGCCCTCTGATAACTTGTCCAACGAATGCTGACTAGCACCATTGTGAAAACTCAGCCCGTTTGGAAGCCTTTTCCTTGCTGCACGTTCCTTCTGTCTTCCAGGTCACATCCTCCCATGCTTTCCATTCTCATGCAAAGTTCCAGACCAGCTCTGTGCGTGGCAGTTACGTTCCTGGTGGAAGGCCACCACGACGTGTGTGCCACCAGCTATGATGTGGTCCACACCGGGTGTTTCCTCGGGTTGGGTTTGCTGCGTGGGGTCGGGAAGCGAACATCATGATTTCACTGGTCCGGTCGTCCATTTGTGCCCCAGTGGCCTTGGCCCCCCTTCTCTTAATACACTGTGGACCAGCAGTTTGATTGCTGGCTTTACCTAGGGGCCAGATAAGTTTCTATTGAACAAGTACAAAAACTGCTTTACATAAATGTTAAAGGCACGCTCTAAAATACCCATTGCATTTTGAATAGCCCATTGTTTGTTACATGTTCTTACAAGCTAATATCTTTTTATTAAAGTATGATACTTTTGTTTTTACAAACACTAATAAGCGAGAATTCTCATGATCCGTCTGCAATATGTTAACATGTCTGAGGCCAAACATTTCCTCACAACGGCTGTGACCCCTCATCCTGCCTCCCTAGAGTCCCCTCTCTTTTCAGGACCAAACGCCACTCTGCACTAAGCTCCAGCTTCACCGGAGAAAGCCCAGCACGGAGGGTGCAGTGTGGGAGCCACCAGACATGGGGCCGTTGAGCACAGATGCCACTGGTGTGCCATACGTGTGCAAGACACCGGTTTCAAAGACTCAGTACAAAAAAATGGGCCGTATCTCAATAGTTGCTTTATATTGGTTACAAGTTGGAATGATGGCATTTTGGATTAAATGTCATAAGAATTTACTTCACCTGTTTTTATCTTTTTAATGTGACGACTAGAAAGTTTTCCACACATGGCTCACGTTGAGTAGCTGGTGGACACCTGTACAGATTACATGACCTCCCTGTGCCAAACCTCGCCCTCCTCCACTTCTGTAGGTAACATTGCACTGGAACGCAGCCACGCCCCTGGCTTACATGTTGCCTGTGGCTACTCTCAAGCAGGGCTGCAGCACGGAGAACTTGTGACAGTCGGTGCAGCCCACAAGGCCCACATTAGACCCGTAGGGAAAGTATGCTCTGTCCTTTAAAGTTTCCTGAGAGGAAAGGTTTTTTTTTTTTTTTTTTTTTTTTTTTTTAATTCCTGAGAGGAAGGCAGAGGGAGGGCTAGAAACATGAATCACTGCTCAGCTGCCTCCTGCATACCCCTTTCTGGGGATCAAGCCCTTGACCAGAATTGAGCCCAGGACCCTTCAGTCTGCAGGTTGACACTATCCACTGAACCAAACCAGCTGGGGCAAGAAGAAAGCTTTTCTTAGCACCAACTTCAGGGCTGAAATATTCCTCCTCAGTATTCTTATAAAGTGCTGCTGGTCTCTTAGAGGCCTCATCCCTAACTCATAGCTCACTGCGTCATCATCGCTGCTATGGAAAAATCAAACAACTTGTTTATTTTTTTTAATATATTTTATTGATTTTTTTTACAGAGAGGAAGGGAGAGATATAGAGAGCTAGAAATGTCGAGAGAAACATCGACCAGCTGCCTCTTGCACATCCCCTACTGGGGATGTGCCCGAAGCCCAGGTACATGCCTTTGACCGGAATGGAACCTGGGACCTTTCAGTCCGCAGGCCGACGCTCTATCACTGAGCCAAACCGGTTTTGGCCCAAACTGTTTAACCGCACAATTAGTGGACGAGGTGGCCAAGTGGTTAAGGCGATGGACTGCTAAAATAACCACACAATTAAAGACTAAGTCATGTGCCCTGGCCGGTTCGGCTCGGTGGATAGAGCATCAGCCTTCGGACCCAAGGGTCCCAGTTCGATTCCGGTCAAGGGCGCGGACCTGGGTTGCAGGCTCCTGCCCAGCCCAGGCCCTGCTCGGGGCATCTGCAGGAGGCAACCCGTCTCTGTCTTTCCTTCTCTTTCAGTCTCTCTCAAAATCCATGGGAAAATGCCCTAGCGTGAAGATTAAAAATAATAATAATACAGAAAATGCTGTGAACAGGATCGTTTCGTGCTCCTTGCGCGCACTGCGCCAAGCCCCTGCCCCACCGCTCAGTGCTGTGTGCACAGAGGAGACGTGGTCCCGCCAGGCTGGAGACCGGAAGTGTGCTGCTCTCTTTCCGGCGGCTTGGGTGACAACCAACCGGAAGTTCACCGCTTCCTTCCGGCCGGCGCCACACGGGGAGGGGCGGAGCCACGCTGACGGGCGGCTCCGGGAGCCTATGAGCGCGGCCGCAGCGCCCGGGCCTGCTCGGCCTCCCCGGCGCGCCCCCGCCCGGCCGCTGTCGCCTGAGGCCCCGTCTCCTCGGCGGCGCGCGCCGCTCCGGGCGGGCAGGGCCGGCGGGCGGGGCGCCGAGGGCCGGGGCGGCGATGCCCGAGCCGAGGAGCGGCGCGAGGACGCCGAGCGCAGGTCTGTGCTCCGGGCCGGCCGGCTGCTCCCAGGGGCCGGCCCGCCGCGCGCACGGCCTCCGGGGACGGAGCTGCGTCGCGGCCCGCGGCCGTCACGGCGCCGGCCCCGCGGGGCGAGCGTGTGTGCCGCCGGCGTGGCGCCCGGAGGGCCCGGCGTGGGGCTCCGCCCGCCTCCGCGCTGCACGCGGGGCCTCCGAGCTCTCCCGCGCGCTGGGCCCCGCGGTTCTGCGTGAGCGAGCGAATGAATGAATGAGTGAATGGATGGACGGATGGACGGAGGAGCGAGTGTTCGGCGGATGGATGGACGGACGGAGGGAGGAGTGAGTGAGTGGCGGGAGGAGGCGGGAGCGGCGGCCGTGTCAGTCCCGTGGGCGGTCCTTTCTGGAGCCGGTGGGCGGGTGGGCGGGTGGGTGCCCTCGGGGACGCCTGACCCTCCGGAGCCCCGCGGCCCGCGCACCCCGGGCGGGTCACGGGGGAGCGGCCACTCACCGAGGCCCCACGGGCAGCGCTCAGGGGGGAGGCGGGCAATGAGGTCCACCCGGGATACCCCCTGCCCTCCTCCCCCCAGGCTGGCTGCTGGCCCTGAAGGCGGGCAGCTGCGGGTTCCTGGGCCCGGAGGCGGGCAGCTGCGGGGTTCCTGGGCCCCCGGGGGGGGGGGGGGGCGGGCAGCTGTGGGGTTCCCTGGCCCTGGAGGCGGGCAGCTGCGGGTTCCCTGGCCCTGGAGGCGGGCAGCTGCGGGTTCCTGGGCCCCGGGGGTGGTCAGTTGTGGGGTTCCTGGGCCCCCGGGGGCGGGCAGCTGCGGGTTCCTGGGCCCCGGGGTGGGGGGGGGGCAGGCAGCTGCAGGGTTCCCTGTGGGCGGTGCGGGGACCTGGCTCTGGGACGGTGGCCACTGGCAGGGAAGCCACCAGGGCGGGGCTGCCAGGTCTCAGCCGCCTCCTGCTGGTTCTCTGAGGGGTTCCGGGAACTTTGCTGGAGGTGGAGATGTGAAGGGGGACGGGAAAGCGCCCAGGAAGGCCACCGAAGCCCGAGCCTCCGGGTCCCATTCACTCCACTCCCGCAGGTGCGTCTGCAGGAGCCTGGGAAGAGCCATGCGCGGGCGCCTCTGACACCATGATGTCCATCCGGCAGAGGAAAGGAGGCAGAGCTGCCGACGCGGCGGGGGACGGCGTGGCCCCGCAGGAGCCCCCGCAGGAGGACACGGCGCCGGAACCCAAACTGCCCTCCGGTGGGTGATGCGCAGGCCTCGGGCGCTCGCTCTCTGCGCCTCTGTCACCCCCACAAGAGCTTGTCCTGGACCCCGACATTTCAGTTTGATGGATAAGTTAGCACGCCTGAGGGTCGGAGACAGGACTGCAATTCTTTTTTTTTTTTTTTTTAACTTTTTTTTATTGATTTCAGAGGGAGAGAGAGAGAGAGAACCATCAATGATAAGAGAGAACCACGGACTGGTGGCCTCCTGCACACCCCCCACTAGGGATTGAGCCCACACCCCAGGCATCTGCCCTTGACCGGAATCAAACCCGGGACCCTCCATTCCGCAGGCCGACGCTCTGTTGGCTGAGCCAAACCGGCCAGGGCGGACAGACTTAGTTCTTTACTGACTTCGTTCTTTCTCGGTTTGGTTTTTCCAGAAGGCGGTACCAGCAGAAGGTTATGGAAGATTCTGTCATTCACCGTCGGTGGAGCCATCGCCCTCTGTGCCGGACTCCTGACGTCTGTCTACCTGGCCACCTTACATGAAAACGACTTATGGTTTTCCAACATCAAGGTAGGGGTGTCTGAGGGCCTGGCATGATATTCTCCGTCAGTTTAATGCTTACTGATTAGCCCGGTGTTTTGAATAAAGACTCACATGCCCCACACAGCCAAAATCAGTGTCGGAGCCGGAGCCCCCGGGTCCCATTCACTCCACTCTCGCAGGTGCGTCTGCGGGAAGAGTGAGGAGGGTGCAGGAGAGTTCCACAGCTTAGCTTCAAACTGTCAGCTCACCAGTCAGTCAGCAGGTGTTTGTGGAAGGAGGGAGGGATAGAGAGATAGAAACAAGGAGGGATAGGATAGGGAAAGACGGAGGGAGGGAGGGAGGGAAGAGCCTGTCAGACACAGTGTCCAGTGTGGGGGCTGGTTTGGCGCTTCAGGCAAATGGCCCTGTTCCCTCAGACTGACCGGTCTTTCCTTGAAGTCATTTTATTTTCTTTAAAGTGAGTTCTTCCTTCTCCTTGGAAAAGAAACCCCTTGACAACAGGGCTACATCCTTGCACCTTTTTGCTTCCCAGCAAGTGAAGGTTCCGTGGTGAGGAAAAGCAGTTCCCCCTGAGCTGACAGCACTCCAGACACTCAATTCTTTCAATCTTTTTTCCTCGTGCCAGCATTTCCCACTATTATATATTTATTGGATATCACAGAATTTGAATATCTTCCCACTGAATGCTCTTACCAAGCAAGGAGTCAGGATTAGTCCAAGCGTGGCAGCCACAGTGAGACCGAGACTGGTCACCTCGGGGTCAGCCCGGTGGGAGTGCAGTCCCTCTGACAGGTGTCTGAGCGCCTCAAAGCTTGGCAGCTCTGGGGCCACAGCCCCTGTCACCCGGAGAGCGAGAGACATGCATTCTGCCAGATGGGCACAGACTTGCCAGACAGTAACCGGTCTGTGCCGGGGATGTGTTTGCTGGATGGGGAACAGCTGTCTTCCTGTGAGCTGCTGTTGGCCGGTGAGATGATTCGTGGACCCAATTCGGAAATAGGTTACAGTAATAAGGTTCATCTTCCCGTGGCTTCCTCACCACCTGCAGCCTCGTCATTTGGGTGACATTTTTTATAAGCAAAAGTGATTGACATGAGATTTTATAACCCGAATGGATGTTTCCTTTGCACATTGGGTGTCGCTTGTCTGAGAGGGCTTGTTACCCTCCGTGATGCCCAGGAGGCAGGTCGTGCATACTGAGCAGTCGTGTGTGCCCTTTCCTGATGCTTTCCTTTTAGGGCTTCTGCTAAATTACTATGTTCATCGCTACAAACCGGTTTGAGCTGTACAGTTCCTTAAAAGTACAATTCCTTTGTCTTCCCACTTCCCTCTGTCGTTATCGTCAGAGAAGACATTTGCATTCCCTCAGCACCGCTCTCCCTGTGGAAGCCACGCCAGTAAAACAGGAGGTATTTGCTCGCTCTGCATTCTTCGGAGGTAGCGCTATTGCTGTGCGCCGCCCTTGGCACCGCCCACCCACCCGGCAAAGTATAAATTGCTGTAACACTGGGAAAGTGTTGGAATGGGGGAAGCAGATGTTGCCTTAGCAGGAAGCAGATGTAAAACTTGCAAATGTCTGTCTGATAAAGTATAGCATTTGGTTCCATGCAGCTGGTGCCAAGATCACCCATTCATCATGTTTGAACGCGTTTTTCCTAATGACGACCCTCTGTTCCTACACATTCCGGGTGTGTTAGGAGCGGGGAGGACACCAAGCTTTCTCCCGTCAGCACTTCCAGCAGTGCCTTTCTTTCCCCCCTCAATGAGATCAGTCTTTTCTTTCGGCCAGTGTGGCTCAGTGGTTGAGCATGGGCTTATGAACCAGGAAGTCACGGTTTCATTCCCGGGCAGGGCACGTGGCCCGGTTGTGAAATACAAGAAAAACGTTGCCTCTGAAACATCAACTAAACGGAACTAGTTGTCTCTTTTTAAAAAAAATGCTTTTACAGAACATTTTACACACCCTTGAAAGTAGAGAGAATCAGGTAAAGGACCCCTAAAAGGTACACCCAGCCTCAGTGTTACCAGCCATCCATTGTTCCTGTTTGCCAAGATTTCCTAAGACTGCGTCTCCAGAGTGGTTTCCCTCTGCCTTGTAGTTCTGTGTCCTCTCTAGACGGTGACAGTAGAGACATCACCAGACGGGGTTGTGTGAGCCCAAATGAAAGCCTGCCCTCGTTTCAGGAGGTGGAGCGGGAGATCTCCTTCCGGACGGAGTGCGGGCTGTACTACTCCTACTACAAGCAGATGCTGCAGGCGCCCAGCCTGGTGCACGGTGAGTGCCGCCGCCCTGCGGCTGCGCGTTCCCCCCGCTGTGCCGGCCAGAAAACACTGCACGGGGCACGGGGCGTGCTCCACACAGCGTGTGTTGTTTCACTTGTTAAATAACATGAAATAAATGTTCTGCTCTGGAAGTCGTATGATACTCCATGTATCCCTGCCTCTCCGAGCCTCCCCATCCCGCAATTCATGTTTGTGATTTCTCGGTCTGGCAGCTGACTTTTCTCACGATCCTTTGGGGAGCGGTCTTGGCAGGTGAAAGGGCTGTTGTCTGAATGGAGGGACTTTGGTAAACAAAGCGAAATTACAGCCATCCCAGTCCCACTCATTCCTTTATGTTTTCAGTGGCCGTTTCCCCCACTTCCACTGTGTCTGCGTGTCCACAGCCCCACTCGTCCCCTGTGCCCCAGCAAACGGAGGCCAGAGGCCCCCGCTCTCAGACGCTGACATGCTTCCCCCGACACGTGGCACAGCTGTCCTGGCTGGACTCCGGGGTTCAGATATGTTTTTGGCAAGAATTCCTCAGAGGTGATGTTGTGTGCTTCTCGGTCACAACGGGAGGCATGCGGTTTTGCTTATCTTTCTCTTTCTGCCATAGAAATTAGTCAGTTCCCGTGGAGAGAGGCAGTTTTACCCAGAATAAGGCTAGTTACCCATCAGCCCAAACGCAGTGGTGTCCGCAGCTGTTTGAAGGTGCATTGCCTACGCCTGTATTTCAGTCTAACTCTGCCCTCCCTCCGGTCTGTTAGCCAGAACTCTGTTACATAAAACCCTTTTCTCGCTAGCTGCTCGGTGGCCTCGAGGCACGGTCATACAGGAAGGGCCGGCTGAGGTGAGCGTGAGTCAGGGCGCTCAGGCCAGTGCTCAGAGTGGGCGTTGAGGTGGGTGTCACCTGCTCTGGGAGGGCTTCGTGGGAGCAGGGCAGCTCCCTCACTGTGAACTGTGGGAAGTCAGCCCTGGACACAGGTTTGTCCTTCCCGCCCTGCAGGACGCCGAGGAATTGGGGGGGGGGGGGGGGGCGGGCAGTGACATGTCCCGCCTCCAGTGGGCGACTGTGCCTCCTGTCTGATGACCTGTCTGATGACCTGGGCTCAGGTCACGGGCTGGGACTGGAAAGAGGGTGGAGTTTGGGGTGGGGGACACTTGGCCTTGGGCAGGACACGAGCTCCTCCCTGCAAAAGAAGAGGAAAAGACGGCGTCTTTAAACAAACACCGCCCATTAGTCCCCACAACAAAGGATCGCCGAGCCCAACTTGTCAGAGTCCGGTAGTGCGGTGAGGAGCTGCTGTGAAGGTGACTGTCTCACCTGTTTAAGTGTCGCTGGCCCGGCTCCATCCTTTGTTCACGTGGCTCTTCCAGAGCTTTGCCAGCAGAGGACGAGGTGGCTCCGCGGCTCCCAGAGTTCAGTGGTCCCTGGGAGCCAGATAAACCCACCTGTTTTCTCTGACCTGTAGGTGTCTTCCCATTTTCCTTGTACTTTTTGTGGGAAACGCTGATTGATCTGTCAGACAGTGTCCCGCTTTCTGGGATTTGCGGAGCCCCTGGCACCTGCCATTCCGTGTTTCTGTGGTCTCAGTGGCCCATCAGGTGGTGGTGGCCCTGGCGCTGGCTGGGACCAGGTTCTGATTCGATCAGGATGCCTCCTGGAGGGTGCCGTCCGCTCCACAGCAGGCACGTTCTCTGGCCCTTCCTAAAGGATCTGTGAGTGGCTTTGAATAAATGAATTATTTTAATTGTAATTCTTTTGCCTGATTTTTCAACTACCAACCTTAGGTTTCCGTGGCCTAATGTATGATAACAAAACAGAATCCATGCGGACCATTAACCTGCTCCAGCGAATGAACATCTACCAGGAGGTCTTCCTCAGCGCTGTGTACCGAGCTCTGCCCATACAGGTATGCCGTGCTGTGCGCGTCGAGTGGCTAAGAGCAGGCGAACGTCAGCACCTGCCGTTTCCGGTTGAAGTTTGGCGTTCGTTATTCTGATCTTCGGCCGGCGTCGTGGGAGAACGGCGGTGTCCTGTCACCTCCCTAACACGTGGCGTTTGCTTTTTATTCACGTCCCGTAAGCTCTGTGGTACACGTGGTGCTTCCGGGCTTATGTGTGTGCGTCTGGAAGCAATGAGTGTTCAGGTGGACACACTCCTCACTTACCTTTGGAAGAAAAGACATTGGAAAGTTACCAAATCACAGCGACCTCTTTTCTTTCCTTTTTAAAAATATATTTCATTGATTTTTCACAGAGAGGAAGGGAGAGGGATAGAGAGATAGAAACATCGATGAGAGAGAAACATCAGTCAGCTGCCTCCGGCACACTCCCCACCGGGGATGTGCCCACAACCAAGGTACATGCCCTTGACCGGAATCGAACCTGGGACCCTTCAGTCCGCAGGCCGACACTCTATCCACTGAACCACACTGGTCAGGGCCACAATAACCTCTTTTCAGGTGAACAGGTAAACCCGTGCCAAACCGGGCGTGCCCTCGCTGAAGATGAAGCCCCTCTGGAGGGCTGTGGGCTGTGGGCTGGGGCGATGGGCTGTGGGCTGGGGCGGTGGGTTGTGGGCTGTGGGCTGGGGCGGTGGGCTGTGGGGTATGGGCTGGGGCTGTGGGCTATGGGCTGGGGCGGTGGGCTGGGGCTATGGGCAGTGGACTGTGTGCTGGGGCTGTGGGGTATGGGCTGGGACTGTGGGCGGTGGGCTGTGGGCTAGGGCTGTGGGCTGGGGCTGTGGGCGGTGGGCTGGGGCAGTGGGCTGGGGCTGTGGGCGGTGGACTGTGGACTGGGGCTGTGGGCAGTGGGCTGGGGCGGTGGGCTGTGGGCGGTGGGCTGTGGGCTGGGGCAGTGGGCTGGGGGCTGTGGGCTGTGGGGTGGAATCACACCCCCTCTGAGGGTTTCACTGTCGTGTTGTGTGAGTAAAGGGAAGGACCGGCTTCCCCAGCGGTAACGAGCGTCGTCCCTTTGGCAGAAGTACCTGGAGCCCGTGTACTTCTACATCTACACGCTGTTCGGGCTGCAGGCGGTCTACGTGGCTGCCCTCTACGCCACCAGCTGGCTCCTGAGCGGCACCTGGCTGTCAGGGCTCCTGGCCGCCTTCTGGTACGTCGCCAACAGGTGAGTTGGGGTCGCTGTCGCCTCCTCCCTCCTCACAAAAGAAGCAAAGGGGGGTCACTCGCTTCCCAGTTCAGGAAGCTGCTCTGCACGTCTGTCTGAGGGGTTGTGCGGCCAGCCTCTCCAGCCACACCCCCCACCGCAGAGACGATAATTCCTTCCCAGTACCCTCACCGCGGCTCGCAGCTCCTGGCTTGCGGAGTGGCAGGCCCTGCGCATGTGAGGAATGCCACGTCACCTGACTCTCCATCCCAAACACGGGCAGAATGAAATCGCTCTTTACAAAACACGTCTAGATAGAAAAACTGCCTGACCTGCAGTCGCAGCACCAATACCGGGGAGGGAACTTACAGACTCGGGCACCTTATGTCAGAATCCCAAACTTTCTGCTTTCTCCTGTAACCTCACCGAGGGGTTCCTGTGGGCCTAGCACTTCGCAAAATGCTTTGCGTGTGTTCTCTGATGGGCCTTACAGAGGAGAGACTATTATCACCCCGTCGTAGGGATGCGGACATTGAAGCTTAAGGGCTAGCTAGCTCACAGTGCTGGGTCTGTGCACCTGTGAGAATAAGTGTATGTCTGGGCACGTGCATGTCAGTGTCAGTACACACACTGCGAAGGTCAGAGTTCTAACGGGTGCGACCACAATGCCAGCTGCCTCTGAGCATTTGGATCTAACCTGTTATCTCTGCAAAGAGTGAATGGAAGTCAAACGTGTTTGCTTTCAGAGTAAATCAGAGATGTTGATTGAAAGCCTACAGTGTGTACAGAGAGTGCTTGGAACCAGTGGACAAAGAACTGCCGGCCCTCTACCTGCCCTTTGGGGTCGCCTTCTAGGGAAGCCAGGGGCTCGTAGAAATGGTGACAAGTTCAGAGCATGTAAAGCGTGAAGAGCACAGGGGAGCGTGCACGGGTGAAGTGGGAGGCAGTGAGGCAGTCACAGGAGCACGCATGTGTCCACCCAGATCACCACTGGCTGGCTGCATGCGTGTGGACAGGCACCTGGACATCCTCCCTGCCCAGTTACATTGTGGGGATGGTGGGGGAGGACAGAGTACCGAGAACCAGTAACCAGAGTCTTTGTCCTTCATGTTACATAGCCACTGTGTGGGACCGTGCGGGTGACCACAGCACAGGTGACCACGGACGGGTGGCCACGCACAGGTGATCATGGCACAGGTGGCCAGGGATGCGTGGCCGTGCACAGGTGATCCTGGCACAGGTGGCCACGCACAGGTGGCCACGGACGGGTGGCCAGGGACGGGTGAGGACTGTGCTCTCTGTGTGCAGGACGGACACCACCCGGGTGGAGTTCACCATCCCGCTGCGGGAGAACTGGGCACTGCCCTTTTTTGCGGTCCAGGTCGCAGCCATCACGTATTTCCTGAGACCAAACCTGCGGCCTGTGTCCGAGGTAAGTCCCCTCATCCTTCCCGTGTTTCTAACCTCCAGTGTCATCCCAGCTCAGAAGGGGTGGCGTGCAGGTGCCCCAGGGCCTGTGTGGAGTCCTTGGTCCTTGGCCAGTTTTTGAGTTAAACAATGCTTTCTTCTGAGCCATCTCCTTTGCAAAGAAAATGGTTTCGTTTTGTCGTTGTTTGGTGTGGCTCAGGGGTTGAACATCAACCCATGATCCAGGAGGTCACCGTTCAATTTCTCGTCAGGGCATATGCATCTGCAGTGGGGGCGTGCAGGAGGCAGCCAGTCAGTGATTCACTCTCCTTATGGATGTTTCTCTCCCTCTCCCTCCCTCTCTGAAATCAATAAAATGCATGTGAGTCACTGAGGTTCTTTCCACAGTGGCTGACCCTGTTCACCATCTTCACGTCGACGTTCGTCTTCAGTCTGACCTGGCAGTTCAATCAGTTCACGATGCTGGTGCAGGCTCTGGGGCTGTTCGCCCTGGACTCCCTGGACATGCTGCCGGCCGCCAAGGTGAGCACGGGGGGGGGGGGGGGGGGGCGGGGGGGGCAGGGAGGCGGCGCTTGGGCTGTGCCTGTCGCAGACGCACACGTGTGTGACGGGCAGAAATGTGCCGTTTGAGCTGGTGGTTAACACAGCCGTGGGTGGCCATCTTAACTCTCATTCTGCTTAGTGTATGTTAAATGGCGGGTTTATTTGATGCACAAATACCTGGATCAGGTGTCCTTCATAGAGAAGTTTAAATTTCAGTTAAAAGACAGCTCTCAAAATGTATGGCTGTGTTCCGACTCCCTCCCTTCCCCACGAAGGAAGTCAGTGGGCATGTAGCAGCTTCCTGGGGTCCCTTGTAAAATCCTCACAGTGACATCTAACCAGCTTGGGGCCTGAGCCCTGCTGACCAGCCACCGGACTTCCCTCTGAAATAAAGACTTTCACCCTGCTGTTCCTCCTGTGTGTGAGGGCCTGACTTTTAAATGCTGACGGGATCTGCTTTCTTTGAGGCCAGAATACAAAATGGGGGAAATGTGACTCGCTGCTACATGAGAAGTTTCATAAACCAGGGATGGTCTAATCCAAGAGAAGAGGGAAAGGACCAGCTCTTAGTTGTTCTTTGAGGCGTTTTTGTGTGGCTCCACATTCTGGAGTTGCTTCTTGTAGTTTCCATTTCGTCTGGCGTGTCCCTGACCAGAGCTGCTCATGTGCATTTCCCTGCGCCATCGCCTCCGCTGGCACCATGCCTGCCCTGCGGCCCAGAGCCAGGTGCGCCGCCCTGTCTGCCACGAGCTGGTCCCCACGCCAAAGCCGCAGACCTCCTGGTGCCACGCCTGCAGTCCCAGTCCCTGGGGAAGTGGGCGCGAGCGCGCAGGTGGAAGGGCACAGTGGGCGATGTGGGGGGAGCTGGGCGGAATGGAATGTGATCCAACACTGATGGTCACGGTCAACAGAAACTGAAAGGGTTTGGAAGAATGCTGAAGGCTGAAGATTGCGTCAGCCTGTGTCCAGGATGCAGTTAAAGCTCCTTTGCTTCCTCGCTTCATAGTATCCAGTTTGTTGCCTCTTTAATGTTACAAGTAAACAGAAATGTGTGACTTAGTTTCTTTTTAGCTCATAGTCCAGCGGGCATTCTCTCTGCGTGTCTAACCTGAGAGGGGGCGCTGGTGTCTGATCGCCTGCCTCACTCGACCCTCCCTTCGCAGGCCACGTGGCTGTACTCCATCCAGGTCACGGCTCTGCTCCTGGTCTGCGCCCTGCAGTTCTTCAATTCCATGATTCTTGGATCGTTGCTCATCAGTTTCAACCTCTCAGTGTTAATTGCAAGAAAACTTCAGGTAGGAATTCTCTCTCTCTCTCTTTTGCTCTCTCTCTCTTTTTGTCTGTAAATGTTTTGGTTCGTGAGACCTTTCATGCAGCATTCAAAGGAAAACTTAGGACCAAATTCCCACTAACAAGTGGGAAGAGCATCATTGGGTTTTTGGAAATTCGTGGTTAGCATCAGTGAGAGCCGTCATAGAGATGGTGAGAACAGGTTGTTCATTGACCCCAAAGCATTCGTTCTCATTCCTGCTTTCAACCTTCATTGTAAGTGATGTCACGCATCCTTGAACTCCAGATGCTGTTATATTTGGTTTCTGCAAAGTTATCTGAGATTATAAGAAAACCAGTAGGTAACGTTTTCCACATACTCCCCCGATGTGTTTTAAAACCTCATGTAACCTTATGTGTTTATGAAGTTATATTAAAATTTAAGAATTAAAACTCAACTCTTTAATTTCTAGAAAAATCTGAAAACTGGAAACTTCCTTCATAGGCTTGGAAAACTGTTGTTACATTTACTTGTGGTTTTATGTCTGACGCTTTTTCTCAACAACATTATTAAGGTAGGTTAAAAAATGGCATATTTAATTTAGCATTTCTTGCTAAGTAACTGATTTACTATCTGAAAAGGGATTTACTATTGGGGAAAGGGAGGGAAGAAGAGACTGAACATAAACTGCACCTATGGATGAGGACAATGGGGGATGGGGAGGGGACAGAGGGTGGGGTGGGAACCTGGTGGAGGGGGGAAGAAATGAGGAACCTTTGTAATAATATGAACAATAAAGATTGATTTAAAAAAAATAATAATAATAATTTAGCATTTCCAAAGAGTTACTAGTTTTACTTTAAGCGGGCTCAGTTTGGGGGGTTATTTTTTTATTTATTAAATGGATTGGGGTGACTTGGGTCAACATGAACATATAGGTTTCAGGTGTAGGTTTCTATGTTCCAGGATCTGAACAGGCTTAGTTTTAACTTGTTTCGGTAATGGGATTATTTTATTGATTTTAGTCGTCGCTTTCTATTCACTCTAACATGTTCTACCTTGAACTCACCTTTTGAGTTATTAAACTTTTTAGAAACTCAACTATAAAAGCCTTAAACAAGTATCTCTCTCAATTTAAAAAATTCTATTTGTGGCCCTTGAAGGCTGCAGATTATCGGGTTATTGATTTTCCGATCTAAAAATTATACTCAGTCCTAGCCACTGTGTCTCAGTGGATAGAGCATCAGCCTGCGGACTGAAGGGCTCCAGGTTCGATTCCAGCCAACGGCACAGGCCCAGGTTGCGGGCTCCATCCCCAGTAGGTGGCGTGCAGGAGGCAGCAGATCAATGATTCTCATCATTGATGTTTCTCTCTCTCCCTCTCCTTGCCTCTCTGAAATCAATAAAGAAATATTTTTCCAGCCGAAACCAGTTTGGCTCAGTGGATAGAGCGTTGGCCTGTGGACTGAAAGGTCCCAGGTTCGATTCTGGTCAAGGGCATGTACCTTGGTTGCGGGCACATCCTCAGTAGGGGGTGTGCAAGAGGCACCTGATCGATGTTTCTAAGTCTCTATCCCTCTCTCTTCCTCTCTGTAAAAAATCAATTAAAAAATATATTTTTTTCCAAATAATAATATAAAAGATCATACTCAGTGGGCTTCTAAAGCCAAAGAAGCCCATCTTTTATCTGCTGTACATATTAAACTTACACATAGATTCCGTCTGACACAAAGATTCTGCTGTAAAAAAGGACGGGACAGCCTCAGGGTCCCTCTTAGGAGTCCTGGACCCTGAGGACGTGGTGGCGCGGGCTGGCCGCCGGTTCTGTGTGGCCCCAGCCTGTGCCGGGAAGCCCCGGAAGCCCCACGCTGGCACCGACAGCTCCCGGCCTCTCCCCACAGAAAGCGCTGAACCTGAGGTCAGACGAGCACATCTTTAAGTTTCTGAAGGCTAAGTTCGGATTCGGAGCAACAAGGTACGGCTACATTTGAAATCGCCTTCTTTCTTTAAACAAGAAAATGTGTGTTTGCTTTTCATATTAAACATCGTGAATAGCCTCTGCCTTCAGCTGTTCATGTCAGGCTCATTCTGAGGGAAAGACGGGATCTCCTGGCCTGGGTTTAACCTGGTTTCCATCTGTCCCAGAGACTTCGATGCGAACCTGTACCTGTGCGAGGAGGCCTTCGGCCTGCTGCCCTGGGACACGTTCGGGCGGCTCTCGGACACGCTGCTGCTCCACGCCTACCTGCTCGTGCTGGGCGTCACGGCGACCACGGCGCTAGCTGTCGCCCTCCGGCATCTCAGGTGCGAGGCCCCCAGCTCCAGTGCCGGCGGGAGGCTCTGTGCTGGGAGGCTCTGTGTCGGGGAGGCAGACAACACAGGCAGCGATCACTGTTCGGCCTCACGGCCCCCAGGCGGGCGGGGACTTGACGGGAAGAAGACTTAGAAAGGCGTGCGCAGGGCTGGGGTCCTGACTCGCAGGTGCCGCGGACAGAAAACCGTGAGGGTGCAGATGCGTGAGGCGCGTGGCCGATCGTGGCTGCCTCGCTCCGTGGGCGTGGCCGATGGCGTCGTCAGCTGGCAATGCACCGGGGCCTGGTCCTCGGTTCAGCAGAGACCGAAGCCCACGTTCATGGCACGGCTTTACTTCTTATTTGTAAAAACTTTAAAAATACTGGCAACTCGTAAAAAACAGCTTTCCAGATCTTAGTTTTCGCATTTCAAAAGGATTTTTGTTGTTGTTGTTGTTTGCTATTCTCTTGCAATTTAGCGAAGTACTTTTTTTTTTAATTGATTTTTACAGAGAGGAAGGGAGAGGGACAGAGAGTTAGATACATCAATTAGAGATTAACATCGATCAGCTGCCTCCTGCACACCCCCCACTGGGGATGTGCCCGCAACCAAGGTACATGCCCTTGACCGAAATCGAACCTGGGACCCTTCAGTCCACAGGCCAACTCTCTATCCACCAAGCTACACCAGTTTCGGCACTTAAAATGAAATTCGTTACATTTTAGTTTTTCTGCTTCTTATGATACTTGTAGTTTCATAAGCAAATTAAAATGGTGATTCATTTTATCTTGGGGAAATAATTCATTTCCGGGTACATGGAGGGCATATGTATGTCTCCACAAGAGGTCTGACTAAGTTAAACCCTGTGTCCAGATCTCACATGTCTGTGCTGTTTTGTCCAGTGACTCCCCCACCCAGGGTCTCCCGGGAAGATGCGCGGTCAGCCTGGGGCCCGACACCGCCTACAACCTCACGCACACCCTCGTGTTCGGAGCCTTGGCGCTGAGCACCATGAGGTATTATTCTCGTCTCATCTCTGTTATCCTTTTACCCAGCCGCTCTCCCCTGCTCTCGCTGAGCAATGTCACGGGAGGCTGTCCCCGTCTTCCTTAACGGCCCTGTTCCCACAAAGCATCCTCGTCTGCCGTCTCCTCCGAGGACAAACCGCAGTCACAGCCAATTTTCCCAGGTCCGAGCGCTGCTGGGCTGACCCTGCATCAGCTCCCGGGCCGGGAGGTCCTTGCTCCCCGGGCGGCGTTTCTGTGCCATTGGGTGGGGTCTGACCGCTCTGCCATCCGGGGCTGACCTCCGCCCGCTGTCCTCGCAGGATGAAGTACCTGTGGACGCCACACGTGTGCGTGTTTGCAGCTGCCGGGCTGTGCAGCCCTGAAGTGTGGGGGTCCCTCCTGAAGGTCGCCCGCCTTCACACCCCGGCTAGGGTCAGTGCCCCTCCGCCCTTCCCGTCACGGCTTCATGTCTCCTCCTGCAGCTCTGTGTCATGTAGGAGTTCCCGCACATCCGCCTGGTAAACGGATGCTGAAATGTGAAGCTGAAAGTAGAGAATGATACATTACGAGGATTTTTTAAATTTTATTTTGTAATCACTTCTTTTTCCCTCAGCCATCCATTAGATATGCTCATTCTACAGAACTTAGAAATCCTGAAAAGCATAAAAAGAAAACTTAACAGTCACCAATAATCCGCTGTCCAGAGCTGTCGCTAGTGTGACTGGAACGTGCTGCCTGGCCAGTGGGCAGTGGCAACCCGCCTCCAGGGTGCTTCTGAGTGTCCTGCCCTCTGGCCTCACTAGGGGGCAGTGTGGGCGGCAATTCCAGCCCTGGCCTTGGCTTGGTGGCTGTGCATGTTGGACCCCCTGTTAAATGCTCTCTTAGATTGTACCTCTGTTATTTAAAAAAAGTCATATGTTTACAGAGCAAAACAGTGAGCCACACGTGTTGCAAACACGTGTCCCTGAATGCTGTCTCCACAGGTGTGTGTGGTGCGGCACACGGTCCCCACGCTGCTGCTGCTCTGCCTGGGCTGTAAGGTAGGACGCGGTGCCTCCGTCCTGGTGCTGACCGGCGCAGAACGGCCGCTGTGACGCGGTCACTGGGCGGGGTTAGGACCCTCCATGGCCGTGGCGCTGGCTTAGGTGGGACAACTGACCTGTTCCCAAACAGTCAGGTGAACACGGCCCCAGTTCGATCGTGGTGGTCAGTTTGGGTTCTGACTCACCGCTCAGAGGATGCCAATCCCGCGCGGAGAGCTGTTCCCAGACCCATTTAGCAGTGAATGGAGTAGGAGCTTTGTCCCCCATGATCTGCTCTCTACGGAGCGTGGTGGCCCTCGCCACGTGTGTGAGAGACTCCCGTCCCCTGAGGACGGCCGGGCACACGCAGGTCAGGGCAGCCCAGGGCGGTGCCCGCCACGCAGATTTGGGGAAATGATCCCTGTTCGCAGTGGACACGCTGACACAATGGCACAGCCTGGCTTCGGGGCGGAGGCCTTTTGTTGAGAGACGGGGTGTTGGTCATGTCCACGACCCTGACGCTTTGTCCCAGCCCAGCAGGGGGAGGCAGTGAGCAGGTCAGCTCCGGCCCTGCACCCCTAGCACACGCAGCCCTTGCTCTCCCCTCCTCGCTGTGCAGCTGCAGGGTGAGGGAGACGGTTGTTTGCTCTCCGTTGCAGCTCTGGCCGGGTGTGATGGACGAGCTGTCAGAGCTGAGGGAGTTCTACGACCCTGACACCGTGGAGCTGATGCACTGGATTAAGTAAGAGCCTCCCGTCACTCGGTCTGCGCTGGGCCCTCCCGCCTCATGGGGTCACTCAGTCTGCGCTGGGCCCGCCCGCCTCACGGGGTCACCAGGGTCTGGGCTGGGCCCCGCCCCTCTCACGGGGTCCCGCCGCCATGTCCTCCCTTAACACCTCCTGGCATTAGGTGGGCGAGAGCCTTTGCTGGAGAGTGAGTGGTGGGCGGGGCCCCGCGGTGCAGGGCACCTGTTGGCAGGCAGCTGGAGGGTGTGGGCACCGGGGCACTGGGCTGTGGTCCCGGCATCGGTGGCAGTGAACACAGCCCCGGGGACGGGTCTAGCTGCTCTCGGCCCAGGTCCCAGCCGGTCAAACCCCAAGGATGCCCACTCGCTCCTGCAGAGCATGAGGATTAACGATGGAGGTGGACACACACACCTCACACAGCCCGTCCATCACCTAACCTCCGGGAAACCCTCCCCTTTCAGCTCCAACACCCCGCAGACAGCCGTGTTTGCGGGCAGCATGCAGCTGCTGGCCGGGGTCAAGCTGTGCACGGGCAGGACGCTCACCAACCACCCACACTACGAGGACAGCGGGCTGCGGGCGCGCACCCGGGCGGTGAGGGCCGAGCTTCCCTGCGCTGGGGTGGGGCCTGGCCTGTGTGGGACCTGGGAAGGGCCCGGGACAAGGTGGGGCAGGTCCAGGGCTCAGGGCCCGCCGTGGGAGGTGAGGGCCTGGCCGCCCCGTCATGGCTCCCGCCCACAGGTGTACCAGGTGTATGCACGGAGGCCCCCCGAGGAGGTGCACGCACTGCTCCGCGCCCTGGGCACCGACTTCGTGATCCTGGAGGACAGCATCTGCTTCGAGCGCCGGCACCAGCGTGGCTGCCGCCTGCGGGACCTGCTGGACGTGGCCAACGGACACGTGAGCGCGGGCGGGTGGGCTGGGGCCGAGAGGGGCCAGCGCCCAGCTTGGTGTGGGCGGCCCAGGCCCTGGGCCGGCCTGGTGTCCTGGTGCCCACGAGGGCACCGGCCTGCAGCTGGCTGGTCAGGGCCTCTGCCTACAGGTCACGTGGAAGGTTTTGCTGTTAAAACCAAAACCAGCTGAAACCGGTTTGGCTCAGTGGTAGAGCGTCGGTCTGCGGACTGAAAGGTCCCAGGTCGATTCCGGTCAGGGGCATGTACATTGGTTGCGGGCACATCCCCGGTAGGGGGTGTGCAAGAGGCAGCTGGTCGATGTTTCTCTCTCATCGATGTTTCTAGCTCTCTATCTCTCTCCCTTCTTCTCTGTAAAAAATCAATAAAATATAGTTTTATAAAAACAAACCAAAAACCAAAACCTCAGCCTTCAGAAGCCTCTGCTCCAGCATCAGTGGCCCCTGTGGCTGTGGCCGTGGCAGCCATGCTGACTCCCTGCTCTCCCGGGCCCTGTCCTCGGGCCCAGGTGCACTCTGGGAAAGACTCCACTGCACAAAGTTCAAGACTCAGAGACCTAAGAGCCAGTCTCTGGAGAAGTTCAGGTGCCCAGCACGGGATCCAGACTGTGGCCGCCAGCTGTGGTCGGCCCAGAGCCCTCCCGCCCCCTACCGACCCGGGGTGTGACTGGACTCACCGCCACACCACCACCCCCACACCCTGCCGGCCTCAGGGAAGCTTGGGAAGAGGATGTGAAACTGCTTTCTGCCCGGCAGAGCTCCTCCTCTCTCCAATGCAGGAGGCCCGGCCCGGCGTGAGTTCTGCCCCGTGTGGCGTTTTCACACGGCCACTGAGCTGAGGGTTTGTTTTTGGTTTTAACAGCAAGTCTTCCTGGTCCAGTTTGTGAGAGAAACAGTGTGGTCGTGGTCCCCTCAGAACAAGTTCGAGCTCAGCTTTACCGCTAAGGGTGCCCCGTGCCCCATACCGTGCGCCCATGCCTCCTCAGCCTCGGCTCCTTTCTCCCCGCTGGGGCTGGGATGCCGTGGACCTCAGGCAGCCACTGCCATAGGGACCACGTTCCTTACATTCACGGAAGAAACCAGTCCCTGTCCCACTGTGTAGTTTCTTATAAGTTTGATTTTTTTTACCGAATTACGCTTGGTTTTGTTTTGGCTTCAGGTGATGGACGGCCCGGGAGAAAACGAGGCGGGGCTGCAGCCCGCAGGCCACCCCCGCTTCTGCGAGGAGATCCGGAGGGGCCTGCCGGCCTACACGGCACTCTTCACTCGCGTGTTCCAGAACAAGACCTTCCACGTCTACCGGCTCCAGAAGGACGCGGCCAGGCCGCCCGCTCCGTCTCCGGCAGGGCAGACGCGATAGCTGGCGTCCGTGGCGATGGAGCTGGGGCCTCGGCGCTGTGGTCGCAGCGGGCTCTGCTCTGCGGTGTTCACACGGCTGTCCCCGCATTGGAGTGTCTTTCTCCAGCTTCTCCTCGTCTCGTCTGTCCTTCTCTGGGATGTTCTCCAGCCCAGGAGGGACGTAGGACTCCATGGCGGGAAACGGCACGTGTCCATCGGTGGCCCGAACAGCCACGTGTCCTGTGGGAACTCCGTGGCCCGTCCAGGGTGTGAACATTCTGAGCTTTCAGGTGACCTCCGGCCTTGGTGGCTGAAATGCATCAAGTGCGCAGCTCAATCACGTAACACTGTCTCACTAGTGACGGCCCACCCGCGGCTTTTTAACGGCTCTCTATGGTCCTGTTTCACCTAAAGGTTTTATAATATTTTCAAATTACCATGCTTTTAATATTTCCAAACAATCATGTTAGGTCCTTGTAACCAGAACTTCCTTCTGTCCGAAATGTAATGTGTAACACGTGTTGTGTATGTGGGTGCATGTGTGTGCGTGGGCGCATATATGTGCATGTGTTAGTGCCGGGCACAGAAGCGCATCAGGTTCCACATTATAAGTCTAAAGGGGCAGGCATGTGTGTGTGGCCGTGTGTGTGTGTCCCCATCCAGTGTTATGTTAAAACCTACTGATGCCACTAACCTATCCTGCAAGAAAGATAACTTTTCCTTACTTCTTACTTGTTTAACTTTACTGGGTTTGCAGAATTTTATAAACATCTTGTTTTTAGCCTTTGTATTTTTTACAGCCTCTATAGAACCTTGCACAGTCTGGATATTTTTAAACATTGTATCTTACTGAGTCACTAATACAGTATTTTTGGCAGAGGGCGTCTTCCGGTGTCACTGTGAGGGGCCAGGGGCGGGCCACTCCCTCCCTCCACGCACCCAAGTGCCTCTGAGTCCCGCTCCCTTCTGACCAGCGAGGGCTCTGCGTCTGCTCGCAAGGTTCCGGTCATTGCTCTCCTGATTCGTTTCTAATAACGGGGCACATAAAGCTGTCGGTAAAAGCATTTTGTACGCTTAATTAAACCAAGATGGCCACTGAATCCTCGTTCTTCCCGTTCCTCGTGATTCCTACGTCCCCTCGCGGTCAGAGCGAAGTCCGTCTCCCCAGGCAGGCGGGTAAGGTCCGGGCGCAGTGAGGCGCCTGACAGCCGATGCAGCGAAGTCCGCAGTGTCTCATTCGCTGTCCCGTCCCCTACGCAGGCTCCAGGTGGCGGCGGTCGGTGAGGCCGAGCCGCTGGCTCCTGGGAGCAGTTGCCTGCTCAGTGGCATCTTGTGACGCCATCAAACCTTATCAGCTCCTGAGCCCTTTCCTCTGAGTCCAGTCCATGCACTGAGGCCTGAAGGAGCCCAAAGACGGAAAAGGGGGGTTTGCCAGGAAGCTGGGAGGAACCCGCCTTCGTCTGGGGCAAATAGATGACATAGGAATGGCCACGAGCTGACAGAGTTTAAACCAGTTTGGCCTGGCCGTGGGCTCAGTGGTTCCAGTAAGGTGTCCATGACAACAGAAAACAAATTTCCCAATGTGTTACCGGCAATGCCCATGGTGGCCACCAGGGGGAGCTCGGGCTCGTGCCAATCTGCAGCTTCACCACAGAAGGTTCTTTGTCCCCTGGCCCCTCGGAGGGGTGGTCCAGCCCAGGCCCGGGCGGAGTGAACGGTCCCCTGTCCCAGGCAGGGCCCGTGGTGGTGGTGCCACCTCGCTGTCCTCCTCATGAGCTTTGGGATATTCCCCAAAAAAATATGTCCTATGTCTGTTTGCTCACCCAGCTCTGGCTCTGGGCCTGCCTGGCACTGACCATCAGGACGCTGACCGAGAGGCACTGAGTGCTGACCGCACGCCGGGCACAGCTGGTACAGGCCGCGGAAAGTACACGGGCTGAGGGGGTGGGCACTGGGCAGGCAGACAGGTGGGGGTCAGGGGAGGGGGGAGGTGTCCTCTGGCTTCTCTGTTCTGCTCACTTGGCAAACACTTACTGAGCACCTACTGCCGGGACCCCTCCCCAGGGCTGCAGGGCAACGGGAGCATGGTGCTGAGGGGAGCTGGACTTCCGGAGCCTTCTCCAGACCCCTCCTGGGAAGGCTGGGGCACGGCCTCAGTTGCAGGTCCCCCTTCCAGGCGCCTCCAAACGTGAGGTCCGGCCACCCTGTCAGAGGTGAGGAGGGGGTGTGGGGTGTGGGAGGCCTCCATGGGCTCCCTCCTCATTCAGCCTCGGTCCTCACGCTCAGATGAACTCACAGTGCCGGGGGCTGACAGGGCACAGCCCCGTGCCCGGCCAGCTCCCACCCTTCCGGAAATTCCCCAGGGAGGGCAGCGCAGAACTGGGTCACGGATGAAAGGGGCGGGGAGAGTGCAGGGAACGCAAAGCCCAGGGGCAGGCGGCGGGCTGCAGGCGCTTCCCCAGACTATCATCAAACGCCCAGATGAGTCAGGAGAGGAAACCAGGCCGTCCGTCAGCTGGAGACACGGCCCCCCTGGACCACCTGCCCCTCTGGCCTACGTCAGGGTCTCGTGCTCCGGCCCTGTGTCCCTGCCTCCTGGCCTTCATGCCTTCCTGGTCTAATCCGGGCCTGGTCCTCACATGAGGGGTGAGGGCGGCACCCAGCGAGTGAACAGACAGAAGCAAAGGGCGTTGGGCTGGTCGATGACAAAGGTCCAGGATCAGGTCAGCGGGTCTCCCTTTCTCATCCCTCGCCCTGGGCAAACAGGCTGCCCTCTGGGCACCAGGGATCTGGGGTCAGGGGAGCCAGAGGGAGAGTGCTCGCAAGGCCTGGAACCTTTTTTTTTCTTTCTTTAATACATTTTATTGAATTTTTACAGAGGAAGGGAGAGAGTTAGAGAGTTAAGAACATCGATCAGCTGCCTCCTGCACACCCCCCACTGGGGATGTGCCCGCAATCAAGGTACATGCCCTTGACCGGAACCGAACCTGGGACCTTGCAGTCCGCAGGCCGGCGCTCTATCCACTGAGCCAAACCGGTCCCAGCAAGACAATGAATATTTCTGGCTTTCTGGGCCATGTGGTCCCTGGGACAGGACTCCGCTCTGTTCCTGGAGAAGGAGCCCAGACACAGCTCTGTTTGCACGGACGGGACAACACGCTCCTGCTTTTTCCTCCTCGGGCTCTCTCCGTTGCTGCCATCTGGAGCTGCTGAAGTTTTATTGCAAAAAAAACAACAACCTTATTTACCAAACAGGCAGCCCACAGATTCGGCCCCGGAGCGGCCGCTCCCTGGCCCAGGCTGTAGGTGTGAAACGTCAGTGTGTTCAGCTGCTGTGACAGACGCCACCTTCTCCTCTCAGCTCTGGGGTCTGGAAGTCCGGGCGAAGATGCCAGCAGATGGGGTGCCAGCAAGAGCCCTCGGCTGGCTGTGGTGTGTCCTCAGGCAGGAACCCCATTCATGAGGGCCCCACCTCCCGACACCATCCCGTGGGGAGCCAGGGTGCCCACATGGGAGCCTTGGGGTGACCGCATTCCCTCAGTGAAGTAGGAAGGCCATCCATCCAATGTTGTCAACAATAACAAAAAAACAAACAGAGAAACAGGCAGACAGACAGAAGCAGCCTGGCCTCACTGCCCACACGGTGCCAGGCGTGATCCTGGGCCCGGGGCCCCAGCTCTGAGATGTGACAAGAGGGTCCCTGGGCTGACCATCTAACCAACATATGGAAAATTAATTCAGAGAGATTTGCCTGGGAAAAAGCTGGGGACAAAAATAGACTGCTCGCTGTTTGTGTCAGGATCTTTACTTTGACTTGCTTATCTCCCTTTTTTTTAAATTTTTCGGCGAGGAACATGTGTTATTGTTTCCTGTGAAACAGCAACACGATGTAGAAAGTGTGGGGAACTCATTTCCTGCGTCCGGGCGCCCTGCCCTCCCCACCGGCCCGCCCGGGTCCCTGGGCCCTTGGGGGCTGGGCGGTGAGGAGGGTCCTGCAGCCCCAGCCTGGCTGCCTCCCCCAGGCCCTCGGGAAGGCTGCTCTGGCCCAGGCCCCGAAGACCAGGGCTACACGGAGTCCGGCGTTTTCCTCCGCGGCTCCGTTAGTGCTTCCTGAGCCGCCGTGCCCCGCGCAGAGGCCCGGGGTCACCGAGTGGGACCTGTCACCGTGAGCTGTGGCCGGAGACCCCAGTGGGCCCGCCCGGCTCTGGCGGAAACGTCCCCTGAGACTTCCCACAGGGGGGTGGGAGCCGTGATGTCTGAGAGCCGAACCGGGGCAGCCGCGGGCAAGTCCCCACAGGCTGCCTTTTTAACTAAATATTATTGTTACTGATGTCAGAGAGGAAGGGAGAGGGAGAGACAGAAGCTTCAGTGAGGACAGAGAATCATGGATCCGCTGCCTCCTGCGCGCCCCCGACAGGGGATCGAGTCCGAAACCCAGGCCTGTGCCCTGACCGGGAATCGAACCCTGACCTCCTGGTTCACAGGTCGACGCTCACCTCCTGAGCCAGGCTGGCTGGGCCGAAACCCCGCTTTCCTCTTCTGTGGAATGGCTGTGAGGCCTAACGCAAGGGCAGTCAGCACAGCAGAGCACAGGAGAGCCCACGGCGCTGGCGCTGTCCTTGGTGCTGAAGTGAGGCTTGGGGGCCAGTCCCCGCGATAGCTCCCCAAGGCCTGGCGGGAGGAGCCTGCACGGGGTGGGGGAGACCTGAGCCTCCGCAGGAGCCGCTGCACGTGCCTTTGTGGGGCTGGTGCCCGCCAGAGCACGCCACTCGCCGGGGCCCCCATCCTCATCCTCACAGCCGCTCAGCACGCAGGCCGGGCCGGGGTCCTGGGGAAGCTGGTTCTGGGAGAGCTGGGGCCCCTACCAGCCCCAGAGGCACCCCCACAGCCCACGTGCTCAGCTGGTGGACTCAGGATCCGGAGGCCCCTCCCCCCGCCTCCATCCTGGGAAGCTGGGCTGGGAAGGACACATGGGTGCCAGCTGATTTCCAAAGCCGTCTGAGACTGGGCTGGCTCCCAAGA